AACGATATAAGAACAATATAATAAAATTTGAAATCTATTTTTTCAATTTCGGATTAAATACTCTTTGAAAATATCACAAACTGAGTTTCCTTCGAAAGTAATAACACGAACAATTGTTAATATAGATATAACAGTTTCCAATCATGAATGACAAATTAGTTCCTAGGTTTTTTTACCTAATTACATTCTGTTAATGTTTTCTTCGCATATTAGATCTGTTCGCGTTGCTTGTACTTTTCGTATGCAGCATCTCCGTTTCCTCCGTCTTCAAGATCGAATATACATTATCTCCTTTTAAATGCAGAAATTTTTGAAAATACCAAGCAGCGCGAACAGATCTATCGAAAATTTTATTTCAATGCCGAGAAGAACTCGATGCAAAAACCAGTCAGTTCTATTTTTTTAGCGAAAATTTTTGAGTAAATTTAACGGTTCAAACATTTCTTGCAAAAAAGCGGACAACTCCGAGCTAAGTTTATCTATCTTTACATATTTTAACGATTCTCAAATATTTCGCACATACTTGCACAATCGTTTTTTGTTAATACTGTAGGAAGTTTAAAAAAAAATGGCCTTAAACGGTTTTTGCATCGAGCTTTTCGATTGTTACAAATATAATTCATATGCTGCTCAGGTAATATGTTAGTGTTCATTTTGCAAGATTTTACAATTTCCCAAAGATTGACGTTAATAGTTAATATACGCTGACTTTAGTAAATGTTTCTTCCAAACAAAACCTCAAAGTCAACTTCGTTACTTTATTAAACTTTAAAGCATGCTCTGATCTAATTTGAATTTATGATTAACAAGGGAAGTTTGTAAAATACTATTGTGTGATTATTTTCTGAGTAATTGAAATGCAACTATATGTATAAAATGAACCATTGCATTTTTTAAGAATGGGGTCGTAAGAAGAAATCATACAGCTATCAAGAATATGTTACTGTCATTGTTAAACTTAATACAAATTTTTAAATTTGCTGTATGATTACATCCGTAACATCAAATTGTTTTATATATTGTATTATTTTCTTACACTTTTTTTTTACAGAAATTGTTCGTGTAATAAACGTTCATTATATTTTAATGTGCTGTATAAAACGATAGAAATTAACAATATAATGATGCAAAATATGCAATTGATTAATTTATAAATTAATTGAATGAATAAATTTAATTGATTTATTAACTTAATATTAATCGAGATCGATATATTAATAAAATTAATGAACAATTTAAGGTAATACAAGCAAAATATTTTTTTCATTATATTTGTGTTCTTTATATTGAGATTTTTATCGTTTTATATAACAGAATGAGACATTCTAATATACTTTTATTATACAAACATATTATTTTTTACTTGCAAAGGCGTTATATTCGCAAAAGATAAAGAATATGCATGAATATGTTTCTAAACAAAAAAGAGAGAAAGAACGAAGTTGCGAAATGCACCAGTAGCATAATGAACTAAACTTTATAGCTTGCTTAAGTAAATTTACGCTTAAACACAAATTGTTTCTATTATTATTATTATTATTATTATAAATTATTAACTGATTATTATATACTTTCTGTTCTTACAATTTCCATCATGTAATTACGAAGAATGTTATGTTGCGCAAGATCTAACTCAATAGTTTCAGCGAACGCTGGTAAACATGCGTATTTCAAATCAGCGAATTTAGCTCGTAGGAGTCTGTAAAACTCAACAATATCTCGAAGTACGTGTTACCTAATTTCGTAATGAGTGTAATGCATCACGTATTGTGATTCAATTGGAAAATTATTGTTAATGTTGTATGATTTGTATTTTTCCTTCATCATTGAATTTACTCCTACTGACATTTTGTGAGATAACATTCCAAAATCAATAAAGAAGAGAGTAAGAAAAATGTATTACTAAACGTTCTTATGAGAATTCCAAACTAAAGACCGAACTCGGACAATATCGCCATTTTGACGATAAAATGTGACTTAAAGCCTGTGTCTATGATGCTAAAAATCTATCTGAGATCTCGACTGGAGAGAGAATTGACGCATTGACCATATACATTTGGTAAGTAACGCGTTACTTACAATGTCGTTTCGTTACAATTATTTTTTTCGGAAACGAAATTCCTTATAAATATTAAAATTGATCAACGAGATAGTTATGCAGAATATACTCACTTGATAATGTAAACACAAAAGTAAATGAGAAAAGAAAAATGATGTGATGCCCATTCAAATCGCGGTAAGATGGTAGTGTCTGGTATCAATTCTCATTGGCTTCGTTCAGTAAAAAAAAAAAATAATTAGTTGACACTTAGTGATTCTTTAATATGATTAGTTCTTGCCTTTATATATATTAGTGCTTTGTTGAATCTAAATGTAGGAATTAAAATACATCATATAATATGGCTCAATAATAAAAATTAAAAATGTTTAGAAAGGCTATGAACCAAAAAACATTGTAAATGTGTAAGTAAAGGAAAATATAATTATTATGATCTAAAGCAAATAACAGACATTGTTTCGAGCCTGATCGGGTCATCCTCAATTACATATAAACATAATTAAATAGAACAGATAAACTAAATTAAAAAAATTAAACGGATCAACTAAATAATATAAAAAAAACACAAAACCATTTATAAAATCGTATCCTGTCATCATGAATCTGATATTACGTCCGCAACAATATAGCGTATATGTCAAGATAAAAGTCTGTATTGGTGTCAAAGTGCGCAAAATATTCATAAGCATCGTAAATTTAAAATTCACGTTAAAATCTATAAAAATAGTGAGAACATTACAATAACATACTATCTAAAGCAATGAAAGTCCATCTGTACATTAATATATATAATTTAGAACTTACAGTCAAAGTTACCTTAGAATTACAATGTAAGTGTCCACTGATAAAAAAACTTCCATATCTGTATTGGTACAAAAATTACTTCTACTAAAAATATGTAATTCGACGTTGGCAAAAGAATATAAAATTTGGAAGCAGTATTGCGAAGAAATGTCCTTGTTGTCTGGTTGTGGTACACAGAGTGAAGGAATCGTTGAAAAAGTGAGAGATTGGAAATAGTTAGGAAAGGGAAACAAGAAAGGAAAAGGGGAAATGAACTAAGAGAAGGAAAAAGATTGTATAATAGGAAGATAGGATTCGTGTAACGATTCAGATTCACTTTGCTTATTTAGACCCAGGCTTTGTTTTTTTTTATATGAATCATTTCAGATACCAACCTTTTTTTATAGGAAGATTCTTTATCAAGGATTATTACATCAAAATTATAGTTGCAATCAATGCGATGGTTTGTGATGACAGTTGGAGAGCCTGTATTTTTATTTATGTCTAGCTTATGTTCTTGCAATCTAGTTTTTAACTTTCTCTTCGTTTGACTCACATAACTGGTCTCGCAATCCTTACAAAATATTTTGTAAACCATCCCTCAATGTGATAAAACATCTAATTGGTCTTTACCTCGTTTTTATATACTTATTTAACGTGTTCGGAATTGAATAAGCTAACTTAGAATTCATTTTTAAGGCGATAGACCTAAAACTTTTAGAAATGTGGATTTAACACGTGGTATGATGAAATATTTGTCCGCAGATACCTATTTTTTAGGAAAATAAGATATACGAGATATAGTATCCGAGGGAATGATTTCGTGAACATAATCAGCTCTATTCAAAATCACTGTAACGTTATCCTTGTCAGCCTTTGTGATAAGTAATTCAATACGATCTTCGATGAACTTATGTGTGGCTTTTAACCAAATAGAAAGCTATTTATTACTAGGGCCTCTGACGAGATACTATTGAAGACCGACATCCTTACGGGAGTTCGTATCCTTGTGAATATTGTAAGTAATTAAGAGTTAAAAATTGATAATATTGTACTAATTTTATGATTTATTAGTTTAGTAGACGTATTTGTGCATTTAGAACTCAATAATACTCGATTTTTCTTTAAAATTGTAATTTCAATGTTATCGTCAAACTTTGATTATCAACAGAGATGAGAACTGCAGAGGAAAAAACTGTAATTTTTCTGCAATATATAGGATATTATAGCTTTACAAGTATGCATATTTATTTATGGAACATTTATGTAATAAAAAATCCTGAATTTAATAATGTATGAGCCAAATATTTATGTTAATAGTAACAAATTTATATCAATTATCGATAATGTCAGCATTCTTCAATTACCTCCGGGCCCTTGGGACCCTTTTTATACCGCCGAAAATTTGCCCAGGGTTGACGGTCTTTAATTTAGTATCTCGTCGGTGCTAGGGCTAACAGAGGGGAGCTCTTTAGAGAAAATTTACTGAGAATTTACTGTTCCTTTTATTGTGCGGAGCCCCTTAGGCCGGAATCAAACAACGTATTGAAGAATGAGATTGAAGTTTGACCAATCAGAACAAAAGGAGCCAAAATTTCTTTGTCCTTATTGATGAAATTTCAATCTTTAATCTCAATCTTCAATGCATAGTCTGTTTCTGGCCTTATACTGTGTTCCACTATGTAAAGTACTTGTTAGAATGCAGTTTAGTTTCATAGTGTAACACCAGAATGCATTGCAGTCTTCCATTCTTATTCTTATAATTATGGGCGAGTTTTTTAATTCATCGATTAATCAATCGCATTATGCACAAATACAGCTTTTACGGAACAAAATTATATTTGCGCGACAGTGCGATTGGTCAATCGATAAATTAAAAAATTCACCCTATATTTAGCGTATCAAAAATAAATTTACGATTTTTATTTTGACCTAAGTTATAACTTTTTTCAGAATTGGCGATTTTTGAAAGTTCAAAATTTTTAAAGCACTGCTAATTTTAACTTGATTAAAAAAAAATTAACTTACTCAACTCTTCGAATTAACAAATTAAAAATATATTTTTCGGTTGCAAATAATTACATCGAAGACTCCTATTGAGGTTTCCTTTCTGAAAACGTCGTTGGCTATAGAATTGCAATAGGAAGGACACCGGGCATGGTATTACATCACTGATATCAACTGGTATCCTAGCTGATTCGAGTATTCCGGGTTCCAGGAAAGAGGGAAATTTTTCATCGGTTTCGTTCTACCTGATTCTGCCTTGAAGATGAAGGTCGTAGCTCGATTATGTTGCTCGGTTCTATTAATGGAGGTGCCCCAAAATTAAACGAGAAACAATAATATAATTCTTCGCGAACCGTGTCGCCGGCTAATAGATAACCTCTTCAGTGTCGTAAATAATTCCGCATGTTATTACGTCTGCGAAAGCTATTTTTACGATAAACTCACGAATTCTTTCTTAGATCCACAAATATATAGCTCGCAATATTTTTCATTATATTTTAGTCGATTATATAGATAATGTATGTACATATAATAGCGTGTAACAATGCATGTAATGGCTCCGCATAGTTATTAAATAAATAACGAACTTCCATTTACAAAAAGGCATTTCTTTATTCGATCGGCACCATTTCAATTCCTATACATATATTATTATAGGAAGTAGTCCTGTGCAACACAAGTTAATTCTTTTTTACGTTTGTTCATCGCTTTCAGATACTTGCGCAAATAAGCTTTTAAGCACAATGAGACGATAGAAGTGCAGCAATATAGAAGATTGCATAGAAAAGTTACCGAAGTCAGCGCTTATGCTTCCGATTATTTATGATTGGACACGTTTTTACAGGATTCGTTTACACTGATCAATACTATGCTCTTTTAATTTCTTTGCAAGATTTGAATAATCAGATATAAGAAAATATCACAAAAATCTAGATATTAAAATAATTTTGAATTATTCCCTTTATATTTTAATTGTAATTATTAGTAATTAATAGGATGCATTTGCAGCAAGTTTTTCTTACGATTTTTCACGTTTTATGCATCTTGTTTCTAAGAATATCACTTTTATTTTCGATAAGATTGATCTATTAACTTGTATTATTTGAGAACGACGTTTGTACGATTAGAATATAATTGTCACAAATGGATTTATGCTATGATGTCTTACTTAAAGTTGAAGAGTTAATTTCATTTCTTTTATGCTTTTTTTCACTACTTCATTGACGGTTTTCGTAGAGTCTGAAAATTTAGCTTTCACGCATGCTTTTTTAGGTAAGATTATCAATGATAACTACTTTTATAAATGCATTTTATATTCATAAATAATTTTTCTGTGAGATGTTAATATGAAGAATATAATGTATCTCTCTTTTAGGTACATTTCAAAGTAAATAAAAAAATGAGTGTAAATATCAATCTACAGCCAAGAAAAAAAACTAATCTTTTATATCGATATGGATATGTTCTATTAATGCTCGTATGCATGATACTTGCAACTATTCAACCGCATATTGGCGCAACGAATGGTGAAGAGTTTTCAATAAATGCTTCAGTAAAGAAAAGAGAAATATATACACACAAAAAGAAATCTTGCAATATCTTTATCCTATCAATTGGGATAATAATGCATTGATGTTATAACATCGTTTTTCATTGCAGGTATAATCAACGGTAACTTTATTATTCGCTATTTCGCTGTACCTTCGATGTACTTAGAAGCCGGATTATTATGCGATCCCAAGTCTCTTTATTCAACATTGAAGGACGGCTATCTTCTGACATTTGTGATGGTTTTCGTGTATATTTTGATGCCTTTTCTAGCACGGATCGGGACGTATCTATTAATGACCTATGCAAAAGTTAATATATGGCTACTCAAAGGAATGGAGGTGATTAAAAATATTTGTAATTAATTAATCCTCGTTGGCACACAATAGATTAAATAAATAAATATATATCTATGCAAAAAACCTGTATATATTATGTATTTTTAGATAGTAATTAAAACACGATTATTAATGTATCTTTCAGGTTCTTTACTGTATGCCACCGCCATTCAGTACAGGACTTGCTTTGTGCCGTTTGGCACAAGCTGATTTGCCTACGAGCGTAATTACCACGCTGGTGTCGCACTTTGGAGGATTATTCTTATCTCCTATTTTACTGTATCTAATGGTAATACTTTTTGGAATGGAAATATATTTTCTTACTTAAACGTATTATATATTCAATACACTGCTTATCTTTACAATTTACATTATTTAATGTGTATATATATATATAT